CACTTGGAGGGAGCTCTTCTCCGAGAGAGGGGACTGGTTTCTTTTAGGGACTGCAGCTGGGGCGAGGACTGGAGGCAGTACAATGGTGAAACGCTGAGCTGCTCACCAAAAGGTCAAAGACCCAAACCCCAAACCCACCGGCCACTCCACTGGTGTCAATCTGCCCCCCTAAACGTTACAGCTGTGAAAACCGACTGGAGTCACTTCCCTCCCAGAGTGACCCTAGAGTGTCACTATATATATGTATGTAGTGTCACCCTCGCTGGAGTTTTCTAGGCTTTGTTGGGGACTACTCATATTCTTCCCGGGTCTGACCTTTTGGTTCTTTCACACTGACCTACTATGCCACTGGAGTTCCTTTATCAACCCTCTGGGGCAGTTCTATTTTATCCAAAAGTCCAAAAGGGTTGACTATGGTTTGGGGAGGCTGGAGTGCATTGTGTTTTCTTTTGTTTTCACAGCTGGAAAAGACTCCGGTGGTTTAAAAAAAAAACCAACAAACCATGCCATTTTAGTACTTTTCTCTTGGTGGGGGGAGGAGGGGCAGAGCAAACCTCTAACCCTCCCCTTTCTTACATAACAAACGCAAACAGGACTGTCTGTGGGACAAGAGGCCAGGCCACCAGACTGCAGGCTGCAGAGGGGAGGGTTATGCAAGAAGTCAGTTCAGAGTGTCTCTTCCCCAGAGCAGCAAGGCCCCCATGCGCGGTTTGCATTTGAAAGCCTGCAGGGAAGTAACTGGTATTCTCAAATACGTCTGTGCCCTGGACTCTGGAAGAAACCAGGGTTTTCTGTTTGATTGTTGGCTTGTTTGTTTGGTGGGGAGTTCTTGCCCAAGGCGCCACTGCAAAAGCTGTAGCTTTAGGTCACAAAAAAGCAAAGAGCCCAGGAGCACGATGTGTTTGCAGAGTCACTAGCAGGTCCCACTGGGAGCGCGGGGTCAGAAGGGTGATCTGGCTCAGGCTGCAAGAATTTGGTAGGAGCCCGGCTTCCCTTCACAGGAAAGGGACTGCGCTATCACAGACGAATCCAGGGCCAACAGCGGTCCCGCGGTGGATTAAGGGGATTTGGGCTTCACCAAAAGCCCTAGCCAGCAGGCTTGAATTCCCGCCTCAGGAAAGGCCTTGCTTGGGTCTATGTATCTCAGCCCACCGGGGCGCAAAGGCCCAAGGACGGGAGTAAAGGCTGGGGACCCGGACAGGTCAAGGCGAGATCCCAGCTCAAGCGGCCCTGACGTCAGCGCTGCGCGATGGCTGGACGACTCCAAAGTCGCCTTCTCCCTCCATCCATCCCCGCACACACACTCACACCCTCCACCTGAGCACTGGGCTCCTACTGCCAGCTCTGGCCTCCCAAAAGGGAGGGGAAAATAATAATAGTTTTCTGAAATAAAATGAAGGGAGATTTGTTGCAATGAGAGATGGCAAAGAGAATGAAGGCGCGAGGAGACCAGAAAGCCGCCATCCTTCCAGAGTAGGATTTGGAGTCTGGAAAGCGGTGCCTCCGGCGGCCCGCCGCCCGCTCTCTAGGACTCACCCAAGGTGGTGGTAGGGCTGTAGGGCACAGACACCATACACCCGAGAAATCTGAGGGAGCGCGCATCGGGAGATACTTCCAGAGACCCTTTGGCCTCCCTCCAGTGCGAAGTCCCAGCTTTATCCCTGGCTGCACCCTGCGGATCGGTGTGCGTGCGTTTTTGCGCAATCCCTATGCAGGCGCCGGCCTGTCTACGTGGGACCCGTGCGGGTTTGGATGACTCCTGGCGAAAGAAGGATCTCCCTCTGGGGAGGCAGGTCTCAAGGAACTGAAAGTAGGATGAGGGTTTTGAGGCGCCACCGGAGTGGGGCGACCCGGCGCGCCCCGTGGCCAAGCTCACTCTTAACCAGGCTTGTAGGCATCACCAGGGGGGCGACGGCTGGCTGAGAGCAGAGATGAGAGGAGACCCAGTGCACGTCTGCCCTAGTGGTGCCCAGGCCCAGCCTCATCCGGGCACCTCTGGCTCTTGTTCGACAGAGTGTGTGTGTGTGTGTGTGTGTGTGTGTGTGTGTGTGTGTGTGTGTTGCCGCAGTGCTGTGTGGCTGTCTGCTTATCCAAGAAGCTTTTGCTTACTCTGAATTCTCCTGTGCCTTGTTGCTCTGGGTACAGAGAGGTGGTGACAGTCACTGGGTGGAACTCTGTATCTCAGCCCCTAGCAAAGGGAGACTCACCTTTGGAGTTCAGTTCGTGTCCCTCCCCAGTGCGAATGCTGTTCCTGCAGAGTCGAAGTGACTCTGAGATAGAGGATGCCAATCTGCTTAGGCATGCTTCCTCGGGGAGTCAGGTGCTAGGACTAGAACCTCCAACCCCAGCATTCACGATCCATCTGGGCACTCGCTTTGAGGCTTCTTCGGGCAATGGGGGACAATGGGTCTATCATGCTGAAGAACTCCTTCTCTCCACAGGGACTACATGGGCACACGTGGACATGGTCCTAGCAAGTTCTGTGCACTCGCTCGCCCAGCTAATCACACCTCTTGCTCCCTCATCCTTGCACACAGCCGTTGTGGGGCTTCTTGTAGCCAGGTTCCGCTACCCAGCGCCTCTCCAATCTGTGGCAGTGCCCTCTCCACCAGACACCACTTTGGGTTTGGTGAACTGAGCTGGACCTTGAAATTCATGTATTCCTCCTACTAAATACTACCAAAACTCCATAAAAATATAAGCTACTGCTCGCATTATTTTCACCTTTGGCTTTAGGGGGTGTTCTTCCTCTGTCCTGCCAACCTAGAAACCCATTCCCCCATGCTTCCAGGGATTCTCATCCCTACCTGTTTCTTCTAACTCCACAATCCCCTTCCATCTCCCAGGCCTTATCTAACTCTTGGGCCTGGCGATCAGAACTTTACTTCTGGGATCTCCTGCCTCTCACTTTTAATACAAAAGCTCAACAAGAGGCAATTCTGGCCAGAGAACCAACAGGGTCTCCAGAAAGGACCAGTGTGGTCTGCAGGGAGAAGGTCCAGAACCTTCTGAAATTGTTGTTGCCAAGAAGCACATAAGTTTTTCTGGGATTTGAAGGCCCTGCTTCCGAGGTGATGGCTCTTGAGTTACAGACCCGTGTTCCACAGAGAGAGGCCCAAGAGGAATGTGGGCAACTCCAGCTAGTAGCAATAGCAGTTTTTCCAAGCGTCTTGCAGAGATTTTTGAATCACTAGCTGTGGCAGTGCTATTGCATTAGGAGGTTCCCTCCGATTCCCATCCCAATCATAATTCAGGAGGTACTAGAATCCTGGCTTAGGTCGCCCTGATGTAGGACTGGGAGCTCCAGCCATGAGCTGCCGGTATGCCCTGGATGTACCACCCTAGAAAAACAGGTCCACACCATGAGGCATTCTCTGGAGGCTACCAATACCATGAATCTGAATCCTTAATCACCTGTGGGACAAGGAGAGTAATGGGGGTTCTTAATTTGGACGGCTCTGGCGACTCTCCAGAGAGATGCAGGAAGTCAAGGACCTTTGTGGGTGGGAAGGCAAGGGGATTCAGGTGGCTGAACACCAGAACTCCCAGCTTCCCACAGGCGCAGGCTAGGGCTCAGCCAGGCTCAACCGAGGGAGCCAGCAGGTTCATGGCCAAGTGTTGAAGGCCAAGCCTGGAAGCTTCTGGGGCCTGAGACCTCTCTGCTCACAAATCAGCTACTGACCCAGGCTCGCCTCCAAAGTGGGAAGCAGAGAGCACGTTGGAGGCACACAGACCTACACACTCACTCAAACACTCAAGGGAGCCCTTTGTCCACACTGGTTTAGTTTTCCATGGGCCAAGGGGGTGGGAGTGTCCAGGAGGTGGTGAAGCTGTTGAAAGGACAAGAGAAGAAAGTCAGGCGAACAGAGTCAGTCCTCTAAAGAAACACCATTTCCGTGGTTTTAATAAGCAAAATAGGAAACCATTTTAATAACCAAAAAACAGAAACCAGTCTGAATAAAACTACAATAGACTAGGTTTTAATATTTTTCATATCATAAGCAGGGTTTGAAATTGATCCCTTATTTTACATGAAATAAAAACAATTTCCGTTGCGGCAAGTTTGATTTCAACACAGTTGAATCCGTAAAAACCAAAGCTCGTTTTTGATGCAGGACGAATATCCACAATATTTAAAACTGCAAGCACCATGCGGTTCATACAATCTTGTTATTACTGTTAATTTATCAACTAATACAAACTCAAAACTGCATCCGGCCAGCAGCGCCAGCAATTTCAAATGGGGACTGAAAAATAGGCTTTCATTTTGGTATTTTTGTCAGTGCAACTTAAATCCTTTTACTGACCTGCAGAAAAAAAAAAGTAATAATAACAACAACAACAAAAAAAAAAGCCACCCAGATCTTCCCTATAACTATTATACAAGGGGGGGGGGTGGGGACGGGAAGGGAGGAACATCACCAATAATTCGCCCGCTTTTTAAGAAGCAGGCAATACGCAGAACGTGTCGATCTAAAGAAGCACTTGAAAGTTGCAAAATCATTTGCCAAGGTTTGGGTTCTGTGTACATTCAGAGCGTGGTGGCTGCTTCAATGTAAGCTGGGGTCACTACAAGCTGACAAAGCCCCTTGCCCTTCAGAGTGCTTCGGGGCGCCATAATTGGCCTGGGCCTAGGGTGTTGCAAAGGAACCATGGGGTGAACCTGGTGATATAGTGTAAAGCAAACAAGATGCATTTTTACTTTCTTTTAGGGGTGTCAATTTGGCTTGAAGGCTGGAAGAAGAGCAAGTGCACCTCGCACCTCGGGTGGCCGGCCTCGGGGATACAGGAGTCCGCAGCTGCACTATCCTGGTACCCTGGAGATGCAACTCCAACTTGAGCTTTCTCTCTCAACACTCAACAAAATGGAAAACTAAAGCGGGAGGGAACCGAGGACCGGAATGGAGCAGAACAGGAGAGAAAGCATGCAACTTCCAAGGGTGCCCGGAGGCAAAGTTCTTTTCTAATGCCAATGCAAAGTGCCCAAGAAACTTTTCTCTACTTACAAAAAAAATTTTTTTTTCATCATCATAAACTCAAACAAAGACACTCAGCTTGTGGCCACGTTTTCTATGCGTTTTGGCGGGGCGGGTATTTACAAGCCGACAGCCGGGACTGAAACTCAAACAGCGCGCACGCAGCGGCTGGAGTTCCCAAACTGCGATTCCTTCCACCCGAGAACACAAGGGGGTTATTATCCATGATCAACAACATGCTAAAAGTTAAACAAGAAAATGGTACAAAATAGAAATTATTACCATACATGTCCAGCATGCAGGATTAATATTTTTAATGCAGATTTTCGTATTTTTTTTTTCTATATAATCGAGCAGGCAATAAAACTGATGAAATTTGCGCGCCGAGCGTCCTGAGGCCCGCGCGCAACCCCGGGCTGAGAGGCAGTGTTCTCCCGACCCTGGACAGACCGGTCCATCTGTCCTTCCTCCGCTCAGCTTTGGCTCACGCCTGCGGGTACGCCAGTGTCCCTCTCCTCGCCGCTCTTTTCCTGGGGAGACCGCGCTCCGGACAGCGAGGAAGCGGCCCCGGCTAAGCGCGCAAAGTTCAGAAAGCCGGGAGCATCGGGTTGGCCTTGGCGACGCCTTAGGACTGTGCCTCGCCGCCCTCAGGCCCAGAATAAAGTTGCTTAGGGACCTCCCACCCTCTGCTCTGCCCCTGGCTCTTCTCGAGTCTAGGAGGCGGCGCTGGCGCGCAATGCCCTCGCCTTGGCCAAGGTCCCCTAACCGCCCGCGCGCCCGCCCGCAGCCCGCGCGCCCTTCCTCCCTCTCCAAGTCAAACAGTTCAAGGCTGGGGCCCTGGCAGGGGTAGGGTCCTGGAGGGTCCTGGGCTGGGGACTGGGGCGGGGAGTCCCGGCCGGGGCAAGGGCGGGGGCCAGACCGGCCACGACTCACAGAAAGAACTCGGGAGAGGAGGGGCTGTCGCTGGTGGAGCCCGCCTCCCTGAAGCCGGAGTTGGCGAGTTTCTCGCACTTGACCTTGTAGGCGTCTCTCTCGCGGGCCAGCCGGGACACCTCCTGCTTGAGCTGCTCCACCTGCTGAATGAGCTGTGTCTTCTCGTTCTCCAAGTGGTGCTTCTGTTGGACGCGTTTATACCTGCACGACTGGGCGTAGCCCCGGTTCTTCAGGGTCCGCCGCTTCTGCTTCAGGCGGATCACCTCGTCCTTGGTGAAGCCCCGCAGGTGGCGATTCAGCTCGCGCACCGACATGGACACGAGCTGGTCGTCGGAGAAGCGGTCTTCCACGCTGCCGCTGCTGCCCGCCGCAGTCGCCGCGGGCCCCGCGTGTGGCCCTGGCCCGGGGTGGCTGGTGGGCAGCTGCTGCGTGGGGCTGGCCGCGCTCGACGGCGGCGGCGACGCTTGGTGATGGTGGTGATGGTGCGGGTGCGCGTGAGGGCCCAGGTCGTCGTGGGCCACACCGGCGGCAGGGTACGCGTGGTGCGGGTGCGGGTGGTGGTGGTGATGATGGTGGTGCGCGCCGCGGAAGCTGTCGAAGCTCTGCAGCGGCTGTGGCACCGGGTGCGAGCCGATGAGCGCCTCCACCGCGTCCTCAGGCGTCAGGTTGAGCGCCTCAGGGTTCATCTGCTGGTAGTTGCTCGCCATCCAGTACAGGTCCTCGAGGTGGGTCTTCTGCTCAGTCGGGCTGAAGCTGGGCGACGAGGGTACCGAGCTACAGGGCGTGCTGAGTGGCGTGGACGACACAGAGCCCGCCGGCTGCAAGCGCGTACAGAGCCGGCCAGGGCGCTCCGCGCGACCCAGCGGCTCCTTCTTCACGTCGAACTTGAGCAGGTCGAAGTCGTTGACGTACTCCATGGCCAGCGGGCTGGTGGGCAACTCGGGCCCCATACTCAGCTCCGCGGCCATAGCTGACGCGGGGCGCAGCCGCCGCCGCCGCCCGGGAAACTTTGCTGCCCGCCGGGGCGCGCCAAGCCGAGCGCGCGGACGAAGAGTGGCGAGCAGGGGAGGCGAGGAGCCGAGGGCGCAGCGGGCCGGGGCTGCTGGCCAAGCCTTTGTCTGGGGACGCGGCGGCGCGTCGTATACTCCCGAGGCTGCCCGCTCTCCGCGGAGCTCGGGGCTGCGGCCGCGCCGGGGCCAGGCCGGGTGGAACCGGAAGGGGTGGCCAGGCGAGCGGGGCGCGCGGCGGGGTGAGGGGAGGCGCGGGGCAAGCGCCCGCCACTCGCTCTCTAGCTCTTGCCCTGGGGTTCGCTCGCTCGCAGCCGCTCGCAGCCTGGCAGTGCAGCTGTGCAGGAGCTGGCGCCGCCGCCGCCTTTTATCGCCTTCCTGATGTCACTGGGGCCCCCACGCCCCGGCGGCCCGGAGCGCTGGCCAATGGCTGAGCGGCCCCCGCGGCCAGGCGGCGCAGGGCGGGGCGCGCCTGACAGCTCCTCCGCCCCCCGCGTCAGCTGACTCGCGGCCGGAGCAGCCCTGGAGCAGCCAAGGCCTGGCCCAGGGCTGGAACCGAGTGGGACGGCCGGCCGGCTCGGGCCCAGCCCCTCGCCCTCCGGGGCTCGGCCCCCGCGTTCTCGCCTCCCGTGCGCCCCACCCCCAGACCGGGCCACAGCTTCCACCCTCGCGCGCTCTCACCTCTTATTTTACACTTTGCACTCCCCCAAGTCCGTGTCACCCCTAAGAAGGCTCAGAATGAGTGTCAGGACGACTCCTTCCGGACCCTTTGTTCCCAAGCGGCCCCCGCCCCATTGGGGACGCTCTGTATGTCCGCGCTCCTGCGGGCCGAGTGTGCGCTGCGCGTGCCTGTGTTTCTGGAGGTCTGCGAGTGTGTTGCGGGAAAGCGGGGTTAGGGCTCTAAGAGTTGTGTTCAGATCCAACTCTTGGCCTTGAGGACCCTTCTCGGGCCAAGCACAGTCCTCTCCAAATGGGCAGTGTCCAAACCCTGAAATGAGACTCCACTGGCTCTCCGCGCCCCGCACTTACCCCACCCCCAAATGCACACGATGAAAGGAGCGGCTATTGAATTGGCCAAAAGACGCTGAACCTTTTCTCCTACCAGATGCCCAGGACTCAGCGCTCCGAGGCTTGGGGCCGAGGCCAGCCCAGGACGAGACTGGGTAGCTCTCCGCTGCCGGAGAACCGGCCCTGTTTTTGTTTGAACGCTTTGTAACGATTAAGCAGATCCGGCCGTCAGCTGGCCTGCCGCGGAGAGGCTCAAATAGGCATAAAGTGCGACCCCAAGTGGTAACTGTGCGCAAAGGCGCGCTGAGCCTCTCAACCAGCAGCTGGAGGCTTGGACAGCGCTTTGGGACTAGGACTTGCCACCTGGCCCAACCCAAGCCAACCCCGGACTCAAGCTGTGTACGCACTGAAGACTACAGGTTCCTCTTGGACAACACACACAAAGTCCTGGTTACATCCGAGGACTCAGCGGTAGCACTTACCCTGGTACCCACGCTGAAACGCATGCCACAGTTCTCCAGGTCTAATTCGGTCAGCAAGGTTTGGGGATAGGGAGGATCAGTGATTGAAAGCAAAAATAGAGAAGGGGCTTAGGTCTCCCTGCCCCGGAAGCTTCCGGGAGCGCAGACGAGGAGTCCAGAGCGCATCGCAGTAAGCATGTAGACAGCGCACAGCGTGCCGTGCCCATCCTACCTAAATTCAAGATGACCCGAAATAAGAAATAAGGGGTTCTCCTCAAACCCCCGGTCTGGGTACTGAAATTGGAAGATTCGCAAATTCGCTGGATCCGGATCCCCCGCCGCCTCTCGCGTCGCCTTCTGCTCTCCAGTTTGGGGTACGTGCAGCGAAATGCAGGGGAAGTGCGCATTTGGTGAGTGTGTCCCAGTCGCTGCTGAGTCCGGACCAAGGGAGCAAGGGAGCAAGACCAATGCGAACGCAGCCAGATTTTTTTTTTTTTTTTTACACTGTAGGAAGGTAAGATCTTTGCAATTAATTGGGGAGGGGAGAGATGCGAAACACCTGCTCTATTCTCTTGTGCCCTCAGTAAAATGGCTGGGGGGGGGGTGGTCTAGGGCTCCCTATATTTAATAAAATTAATATATTTTAACTAAAATTTAGTCTGGACGGTTTGATTCCGCAGATGCCATGTTTGGAGAGCCTGGTTTAACTCTCCAAAATGTGCGCTCTCTGTAGAAATGATTTCTTCCGCCTTTATGTAGAGCTTGAGGCAGGTCTCCGCTCCACTCAGGTCCAAAGCTGGGCGTTAGAGACACGCCCCCGCCCCCATGGCTGTCCCTGTCGCGTTTGAGCCTGGTGAACGCACACTTGGACCACGGGCAAAGGCCGGAGCGTCTCTAAGCCCGCGCTGCGGCCAGCCGCCTTGAATCTGTGAGGAGTGTGGCTGAGCTTCGAGAGAGCAGGACAAACACCTCTGGCTCTCTCGGAAATGAGCGAACCCAGGGAGGTAACGCCCTCCCTCTGGGGCCCGCCATCCTGGGAGCGCGGTAGGTGCCGTGGCCTTCTCCCTCGGTTGTGCCTCTGCGAGTCCTCAGATCTATCTGACCTTCGCCAGCAAGGACCCAGACTCTTGTCTCAAGAGTGTGACCTGCTGAAGCCCTGGGAGAGGGGGTTCCTGAGGCCCCAAATCTGGATTCCAGCTGTCCCCCTCTCCCGCGAGTGCCCTGTCACTGTCTCAGGCTCTCGAGGACTCAGGCTTTGTTTGGGGCTGGGTGGGAGGGTGCAATCCTCTTTGACTCGGCTGCAGTCACCCGCCTTCCTGGACTCTCACTGAGACTGTGGGTTTATCACTCAAACTGTGTGGGGTTGTTTTTTTTTTTTTTTGCCGCTCTTTGCAAAGCTACTCCCTACTCCTGGACTCAAACTGCTGGAAAGAGCTCCTTACCTTCCAGGCCGGGTGAAGGAGGAGCGCACGCAGCTCTGGCATAGAGGCCCTGCAGGGCAGCCTACCTTTTTTTTGCATCCCTGCACCACCATCCCTCAACCCAACGCCGGCTCCTGTGTTGCTCCGGCTCCCCCATTGCCGTGCCACAAACCCCCGCGACCTCCTCCAGGTAGCCACCACCGCTGGCCACTGTCTCTCCTAGGAGCGCCCAGGGCAGAGTGCCTGCATCAAATCCTTGAGGAGAGACCCTTGCCAGACCTCTACACCGCACTCCTACAGAGAAAGACATTGGGGGAGGGGGTGGAGCACAGACAGAGGAGATGATGAGCAAAGTAGAGAATTGAAAAAGTTAAAAGAGTAAGGGAAGGGGACCCAGAAACAGCCTCGCTGGAGGGGCGGCCAGTCAAGATCTTGGCAGCCAGAATCGGTTTAAGGTGCCAAGTGTGTTGTTTCTAGCCGCTAAAACTCCAATGTCAGATTTTCATTCAAACTGAACCCTCTTCTCTCCATCCTCCCCAAGCTGGACCTGAGGCAAATTGTCTTGGACTCATCGCTTTGGGGTTTTTAGCTCCAGCAGTCATTAGAAGTGATTCAGGAGGCTCTTAAGAGATGAAAACCACTACAGAGTCCCCGAGCTTCTGGGAGAGGGTGAGTTGCTCCTTGGGGGAACTCCAGCCCAGCGCTGGGCTCAAGGGATGAAGTATGTGGCTCCAACTTCGCTCGCCCCTACCCTGTCCGCTGGGTCACCAGCGACGGACTGGGCGGCTCTCCTTGCAGCGCGCGCCACTGCCCAGCTCCGCGTTCAGCTACAAAGTCGGCGGCAGACCCCTCGTTTCTCTGAGGGTTGCAGGTTGTTTGTTGCTTAGGTGGGCGTCTCTGTATGTGCGTGGGTACAGCGAGGGGAAAACAGAAAGACAAGTGAGTGTATGTTTGCGCACTCTAGCGCGCACGTGTGTGCTTCAGGTAGGGAAGCGGAAGCGCAGCACGCGGGACGCGGACGCACCAAATCGCTCAGCCGGCAACTGCGGTCTCAGAGCCCTGAGCCTAAAGGATTGTGCGACCCGCCTCTCCAACTAGAGGCTGGTAGTTCTAAGGACCTCTGGGCCGAGTTCTTCCGGGGAGAATCCTGAGTCAAAGGGAGTTCAGAGGACTCCCTCATGCATTTGCATGTGGAGAGCCTCAAGGATCTCTTCTAAGGAACAGACCTCTCCGGCACCTTTGTTGACCCAGTGGTTGGGGTGGTGTCTGATCTCCCACCTCTAATGATCTCCCCCCACCCCTGGCCTTCAGCCCAGAGAAGAGCGCAGAGCTTATTCTGCCCACCTTTCTCCTTCCCTAAGGCACCTGGGCCCTTCACAGTAGCCATCAGATTCCAATCTAGGATTCTCAAGGAGCTTTTGTTGAAGTTTTGAGTCCTGCCCAGTGGCTCTTAAGCAGTGGCTAGAATGACTCTACACACATGCAGGGACACGGACACGGGAGGGACAGCTTGATATTGAAACTTTCACCTCTTTTCAACGTCTCACGTTTTTACTTCATTTAACTATGGCTACCAGAAAAATGTAAGCTTAAATATGGCTCAGTGTAGGTATATCTAACAACCAATGAGCAATATCACCCCTCCCAGTAGATGAGATATTTGACAATAACCATTTTGTACAGAAATTTGTAAAGTTTTGCCATTCATTCAATTCTCATAACTACTCAAAGAATGGGGGGGGGCATTCTCATTATATGCAATATTAACAAGACTCAAAGAGGGTACCTACTTTTTTAAAGTTACACAGCAGTAGTGAGCTTCAACTCCAGCTCCAAGTGCAGTACTGGGAAAGCTGTGAAGAGCATGGTCTCCACTTCAGCTGGAACCCCAGCCAGGGAACACAGTTTTTCTCCAGCTATCTCTAGGTCAGGGTTCTAACTCCAAACAGGATTAGTCATAGTTGACCTTCTAGCATGTGCCAAGCCCAAGGCCAAGAGCTCAATGATAAAGGCAATATACATGGCAGACCAATGACCTTGATTTCCTTCTCCTTCCCTTGCCTCCTCCACA